GGGAATGGGATGGGAATAAAGACCCTGACACCCACACCCCCACCCTCAGATGTACTGTTGGTGCATGTTGTTCTATGGAGCAATTAAAAAAAAAGGAAAGAAGAAGAGGCAGAGGCCGGCGTGGTGCCAGTTTCCCCTCCACCACTACTCTAACCCAAAACCCTAAGTGCTGTTTCTACTGACATCGGTTCAATAACTTTAAGCTCAGGTAGATGTTGCCAGATTACCACTAAAATGAGTTATTCATTGTGACAACCCCAACAGGATCTGAACATTTCAGGAAAATTTGTTTATAACATTTTGAGTAATCTTGTGCAACGCTAGCAAAAACAGGACCTCCTTGGCGGAGGTAATATACCTCACTTATGCAGTTTCTTTGAGCAATACATTCCTTTTCATGTTGTTTACTCTCATGTTACTGTGTTTCTTTCCAGTGAAGTTACATTGAGAAATGAGGATGATGCGTCTGCGTCCTCTGACTCCCTGGGGGAGCAACTGTTTGAGCTGGTGGATGTTTACAACACTGGTCACTCCCAGAAAATTACAGGTGTGTGTAACGCTCGCACACTAAACTAGAAGCATTTGGAGAGTGCATACATCTACAAAGAGCTCATACTGTGAGACCCATTCAGCATCTAGCAGAACTTTGTTTCACCAATCACAGCTCAGCAGCTGCACATTTTCATTTGCATTACTGACAGATATTTTTTATTGATTCCTAACTGTAGTACACACATGCATGTTGTCTGTGTTAATGTGATTATTACTGTGTTTTTAGAAGGTTTCAGAGTTACCAATAAGTTTATTTAGTTAATTCACAAACCTAATGTTTTAATATCTTAGCGTTGCAGGAACTTATGCCAAACTGTACAATATAATGAAGATGGTCAGGGAGGATAATGCTAATGCTAACCTTAGCATTTAAGTTTATATTTCTAGGATTATATTATATGTTATATTATATTGATGAGTAATTTGTACTTGCAATAAAAGAAAACTCCCTGTCTGTCTATAGGAATGCTTTTGGAGCAGCACAAAGATGCAGTCTTACATCTTCTGTCAGATCCTAAACTTCTGGAGAAGCATGTGAATCTCGCCTTGAAGACGTTAAAAGAGTCTGTAACTTTGCACAGTCAGCAGGATAAACACTGATTTGCTTATATTGTTTTTCAGAATTCACTTTCTGTTCAGTCTGGATGCTGTATGTTAGTTTATTTCTGGCCTTATTTCAGGCAAAATGTAGAGGAAGCGGATGTGAGCGACTCCTCAGAAACCGATGACACAGACAAACTGGGTGAAAAGATTTTCTCACTGGTGGTGGAGATGGATCCACTTCATGCAAATGACATTACAGGTAAACCTACGCTGAATGTACCATCAATTCTGCTGCGCCTTTTGGAAGTTTGCTATCGTATGAGTTTTTCTGATAAAGCTCAAACTTTCACATTTCTACAGGAATGCTTCTGGAGATGGACTCGCCGGCGCTGCAGCTGCTGCTCAGTGACCACACGATGCTGAGAGTCGCTGTTCAAAAAGCGCAAGCCGTGCTGGACACCTAGAGCTGACGTTTCTGACACAACGCTATAATATTTAACAATCAGTGACTTGATAAACTCAGTTAATGTAGAGATGGTGAAACACTTTTGTTTTAAATAGACTCTGCAGTGGACAATGAACAGATGTTAACTGAAGAGAGCTGAAAGACGTCTGTTCCTGCTGAACACATATTATTGCACTTTAATTTCTGAGCTCAATGAACAGTGTGAATCATTAATCCTTCAATGAGAAGTCACACTTATTGATTAAACTGTTTACTGTAATTCATTAGGGAGGATTTTTAAAAAAAAATACACAAATCTAATGCTTCTTTTAGTTTTTTATATACTCAGTTGTAGAAAAGAGCAAGCACTGATGCTCAATATTTTTACTAACATAAGCAACTAATCTGTCTAAAATTACTGGATGAATTATATAGATATTTTTACAGATTTCCCTCTGAGTCTTTGCTGCTGCAGCTATTGATAATTTATTTAACAGAGTTTTGTCATGTCTGCATCAAAACTCAGCTTCTTACCTTACAGGATGACAACATTTACAAATATATTTATGTATGGATGGTTTAATTTAACAACAAAAAAGCTGATTTAACAAACAGGACAAATCAAATTTTACCCAACAATGCATGTTAAGTATATATATATATACAGTATATATACAGTATATATATAATTGAAATCCCCGCGGTTACAAAATTTCACATGGGGAGGATCAAAAATCCACTGAATGTGCAATATTATAATAATACATAATATTATAATTATAA